TAGTGGGCAAAAAAGAGAATCCCTCTTTCCATTGTTTCTCCACTGTTTTATATCTTGTATAGTTTTTCATCAATTATTACTGCTTCGCTTACTTTTAACCATTAACTGCGGTAAATATCATTTTTTTTCAACGCTGACAGATGTGTTTTTATTTGCTTATATTAATCGTAAGATTACTGATCTTATAAAGCCATCATTTATATACTCGAAATCTTAAAACTGTATTTCTTTTGCACGTTTTTTGTTAGTAGTAATTCTATGGAGTTATTTGGTCATTAGTTACAGTAAAGCATAGATAAATATGAATCGTTCGAATAAAAATGTAGAATGGCTTTTTTCCTGTCTTTTTTCCTTAATTCACTTTTTTTATTTTTAATTAGGGAAGGAAGAAAGAAAGCTATCTGTAAGAAAAGTTGAATAACGCAGACGAAAAATGTTAAAAGTTGACGTAATACTAGAAAATACTGAAAAGATGTAAATTTCTTTTTTTTTTTAGTCACATCTTTTTGTGTTGCTTGGTCTGTTTTTTGATCTGGTTTTTGCGGTTAATATTTCCTTCTTAAAGTTTGATTCTCTTTTACTATGCCCAAACAGTTAGTGAATGTTGAGGTGTGTATAATGGATTTCAGCTATTTTTACTGCATTTATAGTTGTTTTGGTTTCCTGGCCATTTTTTTTACAAACATTCTTTTCATTATGAAACTTTTCGACCGAATAGAGCGAAGTTCAAAGTCCTCCACGTTGTGGACGGTTTTTTAACAATATTCCAGAGCCGTATACGTTGAAGAATGAAGTCGCTCAGGAGAAATAAAGAAGAAAGGTGTGTTGTTAGTCAATTGGTCTCCTTATTTTTTTATTATTTTAAGTAGTAAACATTAAAGCAGGATTCTTAACTAATAGATCTCTCAGTATGGTTGCACGAAAGGAAGATAATACTCATATTTTTCAGCATCTGAACTAATGTTTGTTACAGCATATCGATTATGTTCGTCAGGTAAGAGTTTCTTGTGGGGAGAAATAATTGCCGCTATGGAACCCTCAAGTACAGTAAAAATTTCTGGCATTATCATTTTACGTTAGGATGGGTCTTTTATTCAGTGTAGATAGGAGGATTTTTCAGGTCTCTAAAGAAATAGTGCTGTATTTTCTATTAGTTTATTTTTTTTCAGATACGCGTGCAACACTTACAGCCTTGCTTTCGTTTGGCAGGAGCCATGAAGAACGCTGGTACCGCTTTGCCATATCTGGAATCGAACAAATAAATTTGTTATAAAGCAGATGGTGGTTTTTATAAATACAGTTACATTTTTGGTTCACTTTTCTGGATCTTCCTCTTCTGGCATGATCAGGTTTAAGCTTTTATAAATACAATTCTTTCAAAACTCTTATACGCATAATAGCCAAAATGCTTGAAGCAGCTAAGCAGAAAAATTTTGGCTCTTAATTGTTCACGAAGTTATATGTAAAAGCAGAAACTCATGATTAGTTTTTTAAATGCATATTGTGATGTAGCTTCTGTTTTTGCGCGTCGCTGGGCATCTAGCTTGGCGAAGTTTCATGGAAGATCTGCTCGCCAATTTGATATTCAGTTCCATGTTGATAATGATTTCGATTTTAACTTCTTTTGTCTAGCCGGAACTTTCAAAAGTCGTATTTATATGGAGATTATGTATTTCAGATTTTCCTTTCTGTTATATTTTTCGACGGTTAGTAGTAGCACATTGTAATTTATATATATATTCGTTTGTGTAAAGATTGGTAGTGGCGTAATGTTGGTTTGGAACTTGTGAGTCACGAAGGTTTGACTTCTTCTCAGAAATAAGTTCATCTCAAGCCCTCAAGACTTTGCAAAAGTATTTGAAATTTTTTCTTATGATTAGAAAAGAATTTTTTGTTCATTTAGATTCCTCAGCTAGATAACGAACATAAAGTATGCATCCATTATCAGGGAAAATTAGTTCCAGAAGTTTAAATATTCAGGTAGTTCGCGTAAACATATAACCTTGATTTCATAAAATTTCCATTAAAGGCGGTTAACGAATAAATGAAAAAAAAGAAGCTGGGTAACGGAAAGATTTTTGTGATATTAACTGAAGAAGATTGGAGCAAAGTTGCACTTGCAATAGGGTTCTGCAAGCGATCAAGGTTACAAATAGTGTTAAGTCTGTGCTGCCTTTTTGGGATATTTTCCAGTTGAATTTACTTAATTTTTTAACGTAGAACCTTTCAGTTTCGACGTTTCGTACCCTTCAATCTCGCTAACGCTGTGTTCACTCATGAATGTTTGTGTAATTCTTGTAGAGGGGAATTCTTTCCTTGAAATAATTATCGCATCTCCTTATTTTTTGTGACTAGAGAAAACCGGAAACTTTGTTGCTCACGGGAGTAATGAAGTATGAAACAGCCGTAAAAGAGAGCTTCAGCGGCAAGTAATAATTTGTCGCTATACTTGTGTAAATATAACGTATCGAGTGTCGTTTCAGAAAAATGGATTGAATACAGATCACTATTTTCTGAAATGCACTAAATTTCTTGCTTATAAAATAGCGAAATGTTTTGGTGTGATGATTATCGCTACTGTTTTCCTTTATTTGGTTGTTGAAAACAGACTGCTTTTGATTCCGGTCTTTATAGGCACATCTTGACTGGTTTGAGGCGTAAAATCTTAATCTGTTGTAAATGTGTTTTTTCAATTGAAATATGCGGTAGTTAAAGCTCTGAAATCTATGAATCTTATTTTTTTAATTTTGTATTCTGTGGATGTTTAGTGTTCTAATCAAAATTACAGTTTTTTATAGTAATAGAATCCACTCTTTCATTTATCTTTTAATCACTAATTTCTTCCTAATTTAAGGGTTCTTGAAATGTCTTGAAAAAAAAAAAAAAAGAAAACGAGAGATATTGATAGAGTTATTTGTTTAGATGATGTCACTATGCTTTTATGAATGAAATTTTTCTATGAAATTTTGGAAAACAGAGTTTACGCGACTGGAATACTCTATTCTCAAAATGTAAATCTGATTTGGGTATCAATTACTGTTGAAATTGGAGGCTCTGGTTTTGCAGACAGTTGCAATGTTAGGGAAGTTCGCTTTTTTCTTATACGATTAAATCAGTTTTTGTTTAATGTTTGTCGAAAAAATGGAAAAGTCTTTTTTATTTATTTATTTTTTGCAACTTTATTTAACTTTATTGACAGTTTGTTATAGTAATGTATATTGGCAGATGAAACTGTGGTTAATGTTACCAGTGCTGGAGACTTTTTGCTTTATTATTTCTTGTTCTTCGTTGTGACAAAGTTGCTGTGATTTTTTACCGGAAAAGTAATCTGTAAATTCTTTTTTCATTTATATTTATGTATAGTTTTCCCTTGTGAATACGAAGAGGCAAACGAAGGAGCTGTTTCTTGCCAAAATTGAAAAGATTGTCTGACAGTTGTTATTAGTTGTTTCGGGAGCATTTTAAGGAACGAGAAGTTCTGTTGAAAAAAATCTCGTGAAATTGGAGGTTTTTTAATCACATGGTTACGGTATTTATTACTCAAAATAAGGCAAGATTTCTGGCCCTGCTTTACCACCGATCATTTTCTTTTAATTGTAGTTGAGCTTCAGATATCTCAAAAATCATTAACTTAGATGTTTTAGTTTCAGAAAGAAGTTTGTTTTTTTTCTTAAGATACGTTTTACAGAAAAGGGAATAAATGTTTGTAATTTGCTGCAATGTTTAAAGGTTTTCAATGTTTCCGTCTCACACTAGTACTGTTGGTAGGTGGCACATGTTTTTTTGATTTTTTTGGAGGCTTTTGGCGCAAATGCTGCTGATATTTATTGATCGAAACGTTTCTTTCAAATCGTGATAGAAATGACTCTTTTTTAATCGATATGTACTGTGTTATTTTTTTATAATTAACTGTTTTTTCAAAATCATATTCGGTTTCCTGTTGTATATCTGTTTTTTAGAGGTTTAAGTACTCTAATGAGAGCAAATGACTTTGCAAAGCTAGCTATTTGTTTTTTATTTATATCTTTTCGTTTTTAGTCGTTATTTGGTCACTTATAGTAGTTTTCTGGAGTCTGATTTTCTAAATTAGTTGCCAAATCATTATTTACAACAGTAACTTTTAGTAGTTATTTTTGGTGTTCTGATGAGATATGTCAGCCTACTGGACATTAAACCTATCTATTTTTGTGCGTTTCAGGCAATAATTGCTTTTGGATTTTGTGATAAAGTCATTTCTTCCTTTATATTGCGGCGACTATTTTGGAACCATTTAAGACAGAACTAGTTGGTTTAACGTTCTTCCTTATTTTCAGTTTTCCGCGGTTCGGATCAGCATCATATTTGTAGCTTCTGAAGGTTTGAGGAGGCTTATGGATGAGTAATGATCGGGAGGTTGTGTACCAAGTGCTTTGTATAGCTATACTAGGACGACATGGTTGCGGTTGATTATGCAGAACATTTCTGGGTTTGTAGATATATTATGTTTTGATTTAGAAATTAGTTTTTCTAATTTTTCTTTATTTTTTATTTTATTTTATTTTATTTTTTACTTTTTGGTAGGGGGAAGGGTGGAGAGGATTTTTTAAGTGATTGTCATTATTGGATGTGAAGATTATTATTGAAGTACTGTACCGGAGTAATTTTTCCAGAACTTTTGCAATTTTTTGATCTTCAAATTGCTCAGATAAGAGCTAATATTTCAAAATAAATTGTTGATTCCAAAAACGTTTCTTCTTTTGCAAATGCTTTTCTTGCTTTATTAATTAGTAACAGGACTCGTTTCTTTGAACAGTTTTTGTTTTTGGTATAAGTTAATTAAACAAAGCATTTTCTCCTTCAATTTGTGCTGCGATGGAAAGTTTTCTTTTTTGAAAAGGATATGCCAGTATTTTGGGTTTTCACTAAACTCTAAAAGGGCAACATTGTAAAAATGATCATTGAACACTTATGTTAACTCGTTCATATAGTTTAAATTCTTGAGGGTTTTCATGAGATTACATTTCCGATCAAATTTGTTTGCAGCACTTTTTTTGACTGTTTGTTTAATGGCCCAGATAAAGAACCTTACCGTCGCACACATATGCGTTTTATGCGACATCGTGGGTGCGTGTAGAACAACTGAATACTACTGATGCGCTTTTTTTAAAGTTTATCACAAGGAATGGTTTTTAAATATATGATTTATATAATTTTTTATTTGAGATTACCATTACGGAATTCCATTTTTTGCCTATTGTGGTAGCGGACTATTCAGAAATTTTTAATGCTCTCATGTAAAGTGGATTTTTTGAGAAATTGCAGTGGTGTTTTCATTTTGTAAGTCTACGTTACATGGAACTGATCTACACATAGCCTAATGTTAAAGATTTAACGCTGAAGGCAGACAAGCGTTCCGTCTGTTGTTGTGAATTTGAAGTTTTCTGGAGGAGGGTTATGAGGAAGGACAGAGTTTCTAGTCAATTGTCTCGTTTTTTTTTGCGCAGATTAAATACAACACGGCTCGTCTAATAGTGCTGAGAAATCTGTGATGGGAATGCAGAATGTCTAAAAAAATAACTTTTGATTTTGGGGATTAGTTCAAATTTAACCGTGAAAATGATGACAGTATTTTGCATTCAGTGTACTCTTGAAGTTAAATTATTTTTATTTAGAGATCTATTTTGTGCGGGTTATTGGTTTTAAATTTGCATCTTTTCATTCCTCCCTTCACTTGTGAACTTCACTTGTATTTCAGGGAGACAAACATCATGGGTATCAAATCCTTTATGAAAATTTAAAGCGTGGGGAAGAAGCTGTGCAAGAGCTGGCACAATTTCTGAAAGATCGAACGAGTTTTGAGGAAGAATCTAGTAAATTCTTCTCAAAAAGTGTAAATAAGGTAAAAATATCAATTCATTTGTGAAGGTGTAATCAGGTTTTTGTGTACTTACTTTTTTTTTAACTGGCAGACTACATAATTTTTGCTTTTACTTTCTTTATTTCTAAATCTTTTTTAAAGTTGCGTTTTGATATAGCTAGTCTTTATTCAGAGCGCATCATTATCGTCATCTTCTGGATCATTTAGCGACACTTGGAGCGCAACGAAGGAAATTTTCGATCATTTAGCCGAAGTTCAATCATCTTTTCTGTTCAAACTGCAACAGTTGCTGAAGGATGTAGGATCTGGCTCAATCATGAAATAGATTACCATTTTTTTTTCAAAGGCAACTTTTATTTTATACTATTCTGATGAATTTTTTTTAGGTTGTGCGTTACCATGAAGATTTGGTCCGGTCACGCAAACGTGTCAAAGAACAGGATGTCATTGATGCTGTCAATTTGATGCAGACCACAACAACTTGCCTCCAGAAAGTAATTTGGTTTTTTTTTCCACTTGAAATGCTGTCTTAAGATTTCTTTTGCTTTTTGTGATTGCAAAGGTTTGGAAATTCTACGGTCGCTTTTGGATGTGAAGTTATTTTATATGAGGCAAATAGTTGTCTCATGATTTCTTCGAAGGGTGTTTTTTGTTTCATATTCTTCTTGAAAAAGGTTTTTTGATTTTCTCATTAATAAACTTATTTCTCGTTTGAAATTACCGTCTTTTGCAGTCCAAAGAAACTTACATGCAGCGGTGTTCAGAGTTGGAAAAGCTTCGGAAGGAGAATGCTTTGGCGAAAGAAATTAATAAGGTTTTTTAAGTTTGCTTGTAAATTCTCTAACTATGTGCGTCAAAGTCAGTTTATATTTAAAAGATTTATACTGCATTATATAGATAAACCAGTTGTTTTAAGAGTCTTATTTTTGCACTGAGTATAGTTATGTTTACTTTGTTTACTTGCCCTTACTCTGTAATTTCGCTCTCTTTCTGAATTTTAAACTCTGTAATTTGTTACTTTTAAATTTTTTTATAACGTTTTTACCAATATAATGTAGAGTAGCTTTCAAAATACTTCTGTTTTCATTAGATTCGCAATAAATCCTCTTTTTTGTATAGGTAGAAAGTAAGGTTGTGAAATCACGAGAGGAGTATAGGAACTATGTGGAAAAGTATGGCAGAGTGCGGACAGAGTTTGAAGAAAAAATGGTTAAGGCAGCACGTGCATTCCAAGCCCATGACCACGCTTTTTTGCAGCAAATGAAAAATTTTTTTGTTTCCTTCGCAATATCGTTGGAAGATGCGTCGATTGCATCGTCAAAAGTCAGTTTTTGAGTTTTTGTTTTTTTTTAATTGAAGAGTTATAAGTGTCGTAGTTTTTGCATAGTTTTCATTCGTTTATCTCACGGGAACTGTAATGCTCTAAATTAAAATAGCATTACCTTTTCTAATTGACGAGATCGAGGGAGTACAACAGAAGATTAGGGTTTTTTGGGAAAATTTTTTAAGAAATCTAAAATTTTAAAGTGCATTGTTTAGTTGCTTACTATTCGTCATGTGAAAAGCCAGGTCGTAATGTTTTACCAAAGAAATTTGAGAACTTCAATGTGTTTTGAATTATCCGGTTACATTCTTAAAATTCTAGTAATTTGTAGAGTAACTGGTTCTTTCTTGAAGTTTCAATCTTAGGACTGGCTAGAGGAGTTAAAAGTTGAGGTAGGCTGAAGTTGAACTGAGTAACAGTGTGGTTTAGGCTCATTGAGAGTTTTTATGGCAAATATTCGTTATTGTTTTTCTACCTTCTGCTTTCTATCAAACAAATTTCTTTTGGAGTAAACAAGCTTTTTGATAATCTAAAATTGGTTAACTCTCCAGATTTCTACTGCTGTTTTATTTAAGAACTCATTAATGCGTATTTTTGGTGTAGTATGCAAGGATATTCGTTAACTTTGTTTTACATTATTTTATTGCCTGGCTTTCGAGTTTGAAAATTGTAGAAAGATCTATTAGACTAGGGAAAATGAGAAGAATGCAGTTTTTAGTTCTTTCTTTTTCACTCTTCCGTGGACAAGAACTTTGTTTTTATCGAAACCTTAGTTCCTCTCTGTAGTTTTCTGATGGCTTTGTCTATTTTTGAATGGCATTTAGGAGTGGAAAATGAAGTTCTGTTTGCTGTGTAAGGATAATTACAATTTATTTCTAGCAAATTAATTTGGCCATTTTTTTCGACCTTAGAACCCTAAGGAACACTAGTTGTTTTATCTAATTCTGCTTCTAAAGAGAAATTTTTCGAGGTGTTAGTTACCCTTTCATAACTTTCTGGTTTTCAACCAGTCTTCTTTATTTTTTATTAATGTAGGTATTGTTTCTTCTCGTATTTGGTTTTGAAAAATAGTTGATTTGGGATTGCTTTCATTTTGGCACAGTTTCTGATGGTGCGCTTTGTTTATTGCGAATCAGAAGTTTAAATGTTCGGTTTTTTGCGAAGTTATACGCAAACCTTTTAAAAATTTTTAAAGGTTATTTTGATTAGTTCACAATTACTGAATTTGGCAGTTGTTTTTTAAAGATTTGAATTATAAAAGATTACTTTCCAAAATTTTTTTAATGACAAGTGATATACAGTTTTTTAGGTGATGTCATTTATTTTACCGTCTATTTAGTTTATGATTATTAAATTTAAGGTTTACTCGAAGTATAGGGAAGCTATGGATAATATGGACATCGATTCCATTATGAAGAAATTTATTGAGTCGAAGGGTACTGGAAGAGACCGTCCTGGTTAGTCTCACTTTTTCTGTCGTTAAATCAGATCTGTCTTTTGCAGGCATTAGTTTGCGAAACACAGCGGTTTTCACAGTTTATTTCATTTTTCGTATATTCGCTCGTTTTTAGAAATTGCTCTGTTTGAAGAAATTGACTGTCTTGGTGATGGTGTTATAACGGGAAGTGCTTCCGCTCCATCATCATCAAATTCTTCTGCTATCATACATCCGCTTACTCAGTCTGAACCAGCAGCTCCAACTGCGCACGATCTTCTAGGATTAGATTCTGGAAACTACGATTCATGGAATGACGATAAACCAGGACAGGTTGGTAGACTTTAACACTATTTATTTCTTTACTATATTGTTAATAGCGTATTTCTTAATCATCTTATGGAGAAGTTTTATTGCTTAGGTATTTCACTTTGTTTGCTTTTCATTGGAATATTTTGTGTCGCTTTGTTTTAACCACTTATTTCGTAGTTATCTGTTTAGTCTTCTCCAACTGCAACTGAAAACGTTCTGGCTGAAAATAATGGTTCTTCTACCTCCTCCTCTATATTTTCTTCTTCCTTGGGACGCCAGAAGTTGTCAATGTGGTTGCCTAGTAAACGGAAAAAACATTACTCTCAAGGGAGTTTGCCTGTTGCTGAAGCTGGTCATCTAGAACATAGTCAACCGGAGGCAACTGGTACATTTTTGTCTCATTTTATGGAAATGTTGTTTGGGGGCTTTGGTCGTCATTATTGCTGTTGTCCTATCATTTGCTTTTCTTCTGTTATTTCTTCTTTTTGGATTTGTTTCTTCTTTAGGTTTCCTGAAGAAATATCGGTCTAAAACTAAGAAATCATTAATGGATCTTACTTCTGCTGCACCAGAAACAGCTTCAGGGTAATCTGCATTAAATGAGTGAGGGAATGAAAAATTGCTAGTTTTTGTTATTTCTGAGGAAATTATCTCAAAAAGTTATTTCTTGAATTTGAAAATGAAGCTAGATTTTTGCTGCCTACCAATGCACTATAAGAGACTTTCTAGAGTGGAAGATTCGAGAAGCACTGCAAGCAGCTCAAAAAGTGAGGAAAGAACGGTCTGTTCTTTTGCTTGTTTTCTTAAAGTCTATTTTGGTTATATCAGAAAAGACTTACTTAAAACATCATTGAGACGGTGTGCATATAAAGTGTTATGAGATTTCCTTCGATTAAGATTTTTGATGGTCTATTCTGTTTAAGTTTAGAGTTGCATTCTAATTGAAAAATACAAGCATTCTTTTGAAAGTGGTTGTTTAGGTGTTTCGCTAAAAACGAAACTAAAATAAGAATTTATAATCTACCTGTGTAGCAGTCATAAGTAATCTTCATGCTAGTACACTATGAGTAGGGATACTCTAACTGATGTTTGTTATTAGAAGAGTTTTAGTGAAGAAAAAAACAATATGAACTTTTATAAAGAAATTTTACTGTTTTTCTTTTTACTACTGAATGACTTTTGAGTGTCGCGATGAACTACGGTTTTCCTTGTCATTGCTCTAATGAAAATTTAAAATTTTTTTATTTTTCAGTTGAAATCGGTGCTTTTATCTAAAAAATTCCGAGTAGCTTTAAGCCTTCTCATTTTTTTTGTAGAAGATGAAGTAATTATTCGTAACATATTTACAGTATCCAAATACAAATGATACACTAAATGTTCTCGATTTACCACTAGCTCCACCTCCTCCTTTGCCAAGCTATCCTCCTCCAGATGAACTTGATGAAGAGGGTTACAAAGTTCGAGAGCAGCCACTTGTTTCTGCTGATCATTCTAGGTGTAGTAGCTGTAGCGAATCGTCAGGTACAGTTATTTACTTTTTCTTCACAAAAATGTTCAAGGGCGTAGTATCAATTTTTGCGAAAGAAATGATTTTCCTACTACTCATTAAGCCTGGGGTATCTTGTATCAAATCACGCATATTTTATATTTGATATCTCAGAAATTTTAAATTTTGCCGGTTAGTGGAATTTTAATTCGCAACTAAAAACCAAGGAGGGTATTTTTTAAGAATGGGTTCTTTGCCATATTTCATTCTGTTGAATTTTTGTTTGGTGTTGTCTCCAAAATGAGTATATTTAAGAGGTTGAAACTTTGTGTAAAAAGCAGGGAGTTCAGGGGTTTCTTTTGCTAACTTGTTCATTCTGCTTCCAAATGATTATCGGTTTGTCCAAAAGTTGGGAAAAACAGGTTTTCAAGAAAAATTTTTGAGTTCTGTTAATTGAGTTCTGTCTGAATTTAGAAGTTGCGGATGTAACTATATCGCTTGAAAATCTCTCTTTTTTTTCTAAGGTTTTGGTCAGACCACTAATTTAGTAAAATTTAAGAAAGATCTGAAATATTAGTTGAAAAAATTTGTAATTTGATGTGCAGTGGTTGATGTGATTTGTTTGTCGTAGCTAATTAGTTTAGAAGAAGACGAGGAATTATCTCGTGCCGCGAAGCTACGTCAAATCAACATAAAGCCTCTAAGTGAATCTGTGGCGAATGTTACATCGATGGATGAACTGAGGGTCGCTGCTGAACATATCAGTATGAATGCCACGATTAATAGAAGCAGCACCTTTGACAGGGTAGGGTGTTGTAACATCACTGTTATTCTCGATATAGATAAGAAAGTAACTGATTTTTTTACGAGAACAAATATATTTTTACCTGTGAGTAGTGCATGACTTTTGCTTGTAGTTTTGCAAGAAAATTGTAGTGAGGTTATGGAGGAGGTGAAAATTTTAGTTTTTAATTTGGAAAATTCTATCGAATCTTTCAATCGTCTTTGTTCGCTCGAGTTTAAAAACTCTTAGCTTTAAAGGTAGCTTGCAGCGCCTATTCCAACAGCAATTGGAAAATTTTAGTCTAGAGTTGTAAAAAGTTTAAAGATGTTCCAATTAACAGCTGTTTTACTGATCAAGATTCTTAATTGTGGCGTCATGCAGTTTTTAGGGGCTGCTTTGTTTTTAAAGCCTGATATTTGCACTCATTGAAATTGAAGTGTGGTTTTTTGTGAAAAGTAAAATGTTTATCAATGCAGTAAAGTTAAGGCGAGGTGGAATATCGTAAAAAGCACAATATAACTGTAAAGGGCGTGAGCGGAAAGAAGGAAAATTTTACTGAAAATGGGTAGAGTTGGTAACAGGGTACTTCGTTTAAGGTGATTTGCTTTAATAAACTCTAATTTTCCGAAAGGCTTGGCTGGAATAATTTTGTCGTTTTTTGAAGCCTTTGAGCTGCTTTTTGCTTTTGAGAGGGTTTCCTTGTGTACGTCCACAGTCGTAAAATGGCCTTCCGACAGCAGCTTTTTGTATTTTTCGTACATAGCTTGTGTGCTATGGGCCTGCTGGTACTACAAAAAATGGCGTTTTTGAGGTAGTCTAAGAGTCCTCAGTATCTTGAATACTTTGAATCCCAAAATCTTTTTCATTCTACTTATTTCTTCTCTTTGTAGATAGGAATGGTTTTGATGTTTTAAAAATTTTTGAAGTCATGTCTGAATTAGTTTTTTTATAACTGTTAGATCGGGAGGTGTATTGATTGGATTATTTGGGTTTGAGGTTTATGCTTGTTACGTAATCTGCAAAAGTGGGGAGGTATTGCGTTACAATATATTGCGTCTATTTCATTTCAGGATCCTTGGACAGCCACTACTCGAACTACCCCGTTTAGTCTTAGTTTCGGAGGTAATGTTCGTCCCTTGAGGGCTGCTTACACCGGTGATGATTACTTGCGTAGAAAGCATGGTATGTGGTCTAGGAATATGCCGTTGCCTTAAATGAGTCGATAAACTGAATGCTCTTAACCCACAGTTTCAAGATTGAAGCATTTTTGATAAATCTCTTGTTCCTTCTCGTTCATGGCGGTAATGCCTTAATTTAACGGTTTAGAAACAAGTACTCCGTTACCGTTTTCTTTATCTGTTGGTGGGGGAGGTATGGCCCGTGCTCGTCCTCGTAGTAACACTCCAACGTTTGGTGCCTCTTGTATGGCTTTAAGTTCGACGTTCCAGAGTGCTAGTGAAAGCTCTTCTAATACTCGTATGGTATGCTCTTCTGGGTTCTCTTTTAACAGGAATAATTTATCATTAAGGTATTATTACGACACTTTGTAGCAGAATTTTTTATTTAATGCGTAGTGAAGTTTCTAATGATCTCTATTTCAGGATCTTTCTTCAAGCAACATTCCAGCTTTTCTTCGAAGTGAATCATCTAGCTCGCTAGGACTTTGTTCGGACTCACCGTTTAGTGCTTCCACTTCAAATTTGTTTAATATAGCTTCAAACGTTGGAGAACATAAACTTCCAGTTGCTATGGCAGTTAATGAATACGTTCACGCGTGGTTCAAAGGTGCCGGCGATTCACAGTTAGCAACGTTTCTTTTTTTGAGACGACTTTTAATATTATTTTGACTTAACATCTACTTCAAACTGCACTTATCTATAGCTAAGTTTTTCAACTTTTTGAACTTTGATAAACAGGAGGTCTTGAGGTTTAAGTTTGAGCGGCGATTACTCGACGGAATGGCTTTACTGCCACGTTTTTTCTCTTCACACTGCGAAAATCTTCCAGTTTCTTGTGCAACGGGTGCTGTTTTAGGGCTTTTAGCTTTATTATCTGCGTTCCAAAATGAGTGCATTTGGGATTAAGTTTCTCTCATACATAGGTTTAGGACGAGAGTCATGAAAGTGTAGTATTTGAAGAGTCAGTGAATTTTTTAAAAATTCTATCTCAACATTTTTTGACGTTTTTTTTCATTTCGAGTTTATCTGGCGCTTTGTGCGAGCAGCGTTTTTCTCCAAAAGCAACTAACTAGATGTCTATTATTTATAGGTACTCAGTGAGAGTATTTGGGACAGTCCTCGTTTCGTTTCCTTCCTCTTCTATATCAATTCTCAGTGATTTGAATTCTAATGTCGAGCCACTGAGATTTAAATTGACTTCCAAAGTAAGGATGAAGACAGTTCTGCCGAATAAACAGGTATGCCATTCGTGCTTCACAGAGAAACAAATGATTATCAGTGTACCTAGCTCTAATTCAAACTTTTTAAAGCTTATATCTGTTTCTTTCGACTCGGAGAATTCGATGCTTCCTAGATGTCAACAGTCGTGCTCTTTTGATCGTTCTCTCCTTGCCAACTGGTTAAGTTCACAATTTAGAGATAAACCTACTGCTCCGTTTTATAATGTTGAGGTATAGTTTTCGTATCAAAGTTATACGCTGTTTTCTAATAATTTATTTTATTGCAAGGCAAAGGGTTTTTATTTGTTGCACATTGTTGATTCAGGTTTTGCGCTATGAATTGCTTGATGTTGGAGCTCCACCATTGAATTTGGCTACTTACTGGAAGCTAGAAAAAGAAAACACTGATCTTAGAATAGATTACCATTTAAATCCGAATAGTCCACTACAAAACGCCCTTTTGAATTTAACGTTTTCTACAAAAGTAAATGGTGGTGTTACTAGTGTTACTGCAAATCCGAAAGAGGAGTGGTGAGTTACCCGTTCATTTCAAATGCAAGTTCGATGTTGTTCTCGATTTTCTTTCCGCTTTTATAAAAAAGCTAATTTGTTTTAAAAAGTGGTATTACTAACGCAGTGGTAATCTAGGTCAAGTACTAGTAATACTTTATGTTGGAAATTAACTGAACTGTCACGACACGGGGAAAGTGGTGGGTCTTTGAAAGCCCGGTTAACTTTAAATTCTGGTCCTTCAACGTCTTCCCAAACATTCGTACAATTTCAGGTTTTGTTCTGCCTAATAATTTGAGATCTGTTTATTAGTTTCTTAGTTAGATATTCTGCCGCTGTAACTTTCCGATTACTGCTTTTAAATTTCAGACATCAGATGCAACGATGTCCGGAGCTACAGTTGCTATCGAAAACGATGACGCATATTTTCTTTCATTGTTGCGTCGCAAAGTGTTATCTGGAAAATATTATTGTGACCCGGAGGTCTTCAAGGGGATCTAATCTATAATTCTAATTGCGTTTTTTATGTTTTTCTCGCAAAATACCACTTTTTTGTTCTATACTATTTTTGTTATTTCAGTTTGCTTCACCTTTTTGTATTTTATGTGTAAGCTTTTGTAGATATTTCTTCCAAAATTCTTGCTAGCAGGTGCCTTAAGATCACGAATGTGTAATTTTTTTTGGACTTTTCAACTTTTTCAAGATACTTCTCAGTCACTGCATCTATAATTTTGGAGTTTTACTTTTGATTTTATTAACTGTCTTGTCAGATTTTAAGTGAAAGCATATTTTCAAAGTCTTGTTTGCATATATAAGTCTTTGGCATGAAATTCTTAGTCATATTTTGGGTTTATCGTAGGTGCTGCATTTGTGTGCTCAATCATTGATGCTCTACTCGGTTTTTCAATTAGTAGTAAAGACGATTCTTTAGGTAGTTACATTAAATTTTTTTCTGGCTATTGTATGATTAGAGACTATCGCCTTAAATATAAACACTGCACAGAAGATTTTTTAATGCTTTGAGTTTTTTACTGTTTATTTTTTTCTTCGAAATAATGTTTCACTAAATTACACTTATTATTCGGATTTTTTTTTTGTAAGGAACCGACTTTTAGTGTGCGTTTGAGTTGTGGTTATTTGTGAGGGGTTCTGACAGGTGGAAAGATATTTGTCATACAGCTCTGGGTTTTTTGTTTTTTATTTTATAAATAATTATTTTTTATCTTTTTATTTGGACTTTTATAGTTTTTGGTTACTGTATTTTGGTCTGCACTCGTTAAACTTTTTTCTGACTAAATTCGTTAGAGTAACCGGAGTGGTAGCATAAAGATGAGCATTTAAGTGTTTTTTGTTTGTGTGATTTCTTCAGAATATCCATTTGAGAAAGTTGCTTTTTAATGTTTATTTATTTATTTATTTTTTCTGTTTACTGATGTTTTTTCAAACTTTTGTTTCATGATTTTATTCGTTGATGCAGCATGTTTATTACCCTAGATTAATAAAGAAGCTTCGATGTGATAACTTTATGTTGCAGGTGTCGAGAGGCATTGCAGCCAAGGAGGTGCATAATTAAGTAAATTCGAACAAGTCTAGTAGTTTCAAAATTTTATATCCAAGTGTTGGACAGCTTCTATTATTTGCGCTTTTTGATATTATTTGTGAACAGCTATTGCTATAAACTGTAAACGATAGTTGGGTTCCATTTCTAATTTGACAAGGAAATGGTTGGAAGTTTCATTTGTAGGGATTCAGAAGTTTTTGGAGGCAATTGTAGCTTGTCTTTAGAGAAATTTAAACGCTAAAGATTTCAAACTTAATCCCCACTGTTTCTTTATATTCCGCTCGACAACATTCTTTGAACATTTGAAACGCTTTTAATTGTTCACTTAGACTTTATTTTGCTAGAGTTCAATTGTTATATTTCCATTCAAAATTCTGGATATTTAGGACTTTAATCGTTTGTTACTTTGATCTCTTATTATGGATGATGACCGTGAAGGCACGAGAATTGTTACGCGCCGTTAAGCTGCTTGAAATAGTCATTGGCAAATTAAAAATCAATGCACTTCTTTTGCTTCTTGAGCACTATTCGCTCGGTGCTTGGATGTTCTGGGGAGGAATGAAGACCAGCAAAGTGGGAAGTAATGCCACAGACAATATTTATTGAACGTTATTTAGTGACTATTCGAAAAAAAAGTTATGGTTGTGTCTCACTGAAGCCTCATTGGGAATAGAGTTCTCTTCTTCTCATATGACAAGAATAGTAGGTTGAGAAGTACCTTTGAGAAGTGCTAGAACCAATTATATTTGACTCTTAGAATGAACTATATAGAGTTTTAAAATTGGTTATTTTTAAGTGCGTTAGTAGCATTTGTTTGACGGAAGTGCATGACGTCAGGGACGTGTACTTAAAATTTTTATATTGGTTGTATAATCTAGTTTGCGAGTAACAAACTAGTTAGTAGTAAGAGTAATATCGCACGCATAGTAATCAGACATCTCCTCCTGTATATAGGTTTAGGTAGGTATACTACGACTGAGTAGCAATCTTCTTAAATACGAGAGTTGGCATCTATCTAAGGCGAGTCGGTTCATAGAAGGCTTAGGACAAGAAAGAGTCTCAGGCAAGAAGTAAAGTATCAAGGTAGCTATAGGTTGGTGCTG